AAAAGTAGCGTTACAAACAAAGACTACAGATTTACAATGTGTTATTATATAAAGATTACTTTTTAACTAACGTACCTTCTTACTAGTGTCACATTTACTGGTCAGGGATGGCTGCCTGTGATATTCCTATATCATACTGCATACTGACAGGTGTTCTGTCGTAAACATTTACGAATGGCACTTCTTTAAACATCCTGGTTAATTTTAGTTGGTCTATTTTTGGTACATTGTATAATATTGCATGTGATTTGTGTAGCAGTTGTCTCATTTACACTGTTCATTTGTAAACACTATAAGCTTTATGCCTGGAATGATTCCGCTCATGCTTCCGAAATTCAGAAATTTGCGGTACCATTATATGTTCTTAAAAAATCACCCCACCTAGAATATTTAGCATATGCCCATTGTTAAATGAAATNAGAAATTTGCAGTACCATTATATGTTCTTAAAAAATCACCCCACCTAGAATATTTAGCATATGCCCATTGTTAAATGAAATATATTGCACCTCTCAAATGTCTCATAATTTATTTTCTTGTGACCATTTCAAGTGTGACAGCAATTCTTGTGTACTTCAAATCTGTCATTTTTGAATTATATGAAAATTTATTCATGTTCATTTTTTTTACATACAAGTTTAATTTTATGTGAATAGGCATGTATAAAGCTTTTTGGGATAAGGTTCATTTCTCCACTTTACATACATCTTTTATTGTAGCCAGATCGATTTGTTAAATGAAATGTATTGTACCTTTCAAATGTCTCCTAAGTTCTTTTCTTGTGTACATTTCAAGTGTGCAGCAAATCTTATCTTAAATTATACGATTAATTAACAATGTATAAAATGTGTACATACAAGTTTATTATTATGTGTATAGGAATATTTGGACTTTTTTGGGAGGAGGTGCATTTCGCCGCTTAAAATATACAGTAACATACATCCTTTCAATGTAGCCAGATTTTTACACTTGACCATACTTGCATATACATGACAACAAAAATATATTTTATGATAAACTTTTGCGTATATACATTTTCGTTGCTTTAATTCAACTGACACGATTTCATATAAAACAATGCATTATTTACATTTTTATGAGTAAATTCAGGAGGTACTTGAGATTGCAATCGAAGCTCTATGACACTTAACAAGAAAATATGTGACTTCCAAAAAAATAAGTGATTTCCGTTATCATTCCTGCCGAGCACAGTTGTGTTCCGTAGGAAGAGAGCGAGTGAAAATCGTAACCGCGTCAGCTACGAAGCGAAATATTGCCAAATGGTCAAAATATAGCGCAAGGATTACGTTACGGAAGCATTATTGCAGGTGGGGAGTATTCAAAGGAGAAAATAACTGCCCTTCCGGATAGCCGGTATAAAGCTGAAATGGAATCGACAGAAATGCTGTTTATGTTCTGAATAAATATCTAAAAATATTAACCTCGCTAGTATCTTTGTTTAAGTTGGTACACAGATGAAATTATTTTGTTATGTTAATGGGCATGTATCGGAGAGAGTTTACTTTACGTTTCTATATACAGTAGTTTATGCGAAAGGACGGGAAAAGTGACTGGTTAGTTTGATTTTGCTTTGGGGCCCTCCAAGGGTAACTGTACATGTTGTGATGTCCTCTCCGCTGTCGGTATTCGGGGTTAAATGAGATACGTGCGCTATTAGATTTACATAATTTACAATATTCCCGGGTTCGGTAAAATGGTATGATTTAATTATATTGCTGAAGTACACGATTTTTTTCACATGCAAGATTTAAATATATCAAAATGACGGTTCAAGTTGATAACTGAGGAATGAGAACTTACTTATAGAAAATAGTATCGCATAACAATAAAAAAAAAATCGTAACGTTTCAACACTTCATGTTCTCACATGACGTTGATTTAGAATGTATGATCATGCAACAACTTTTGTCTATAAATAATTAATTTTCTACTTTAGATAGAAGTCACACATGTGAATACACATTGAAAACGGGGAAAAACGGCATTTGTTTACGTTAAAACAATTGGGCGTGCTACCGATAACTACGGCTCTGTTTTGGACAAAAGAAACTGATGTAAATATTGTAAATACTGTTGTAAATATTGTACATTTTATGTCGACCACATGTGAGACGAGTCATTGACTCAATGTGTTATCGAATTTAAATAAAGTCTATTATTATTATTATTATTATATTATTATGAAAGAAAAGTTATCTCAACATAAAAAAGGGTGAATTAACAAGCATGCTTTAATCTTTGTAAAGTATTGAAAACATATTATTATCAAGTATCTCAACACGTTCCATATCTGACACATATTCTATAAGTACACGTAGTGGTTTTGCCAGATATGACATACTAAGTGTAAATGTATGAAGACAGTGAAAGTGGGAAAGAGAGTATACATAGATTGGTCTTGAAAAAAGTGGCCAAAAACATTGACTCATAATTAAAAAAATCACAATCATTTCTCTTTTTTTATATTTGTCAATGCATATGTACACTTTATGAAAACATTTGAAATATGATATTCGTCTCGTGAATATTCCATTTTACACAAAGGTTTGTCCCATGGTTGAGGGAAGGTGTTCAGCCCCGTATCCATTTGTACCGGTCACATTCCAGTAATAGCTATTTCCTGGTGTCTATAAATAATG